ACACACCTCACACCTACTTTGCAAAATGTGAAGAATTCTAGAACAAATGAAAGGTAGTGCTTTTTCTTTTTATGGATTATTATGTTTGTGATTGTCAAAGTGGTGGTTCCAAGAGCAGTTGTACAAACTCATGGAAAGAAAATCCAGTTACAGCTCTTTAATGTAAAAATATGATTGCTGGCTTTGAAAGCACTTAAGTTGCAGATACTTTAAAACAGAGGTAACCTCAGGGGAAGCATGCCCTGCCCATAAAACAGGCAGAGGATGCTAACTTGGTTGACCTTTGTTGTAGCTCAGAGTAGTTGTCTGTATGTTTTTCAACAAATGGTCTGTATTTACTGATGACTTTAAGGAAGTCAGTGAAAATGAAACTGAAATATTTGTTGGTGCTCCTCATTTCTTAGCTCCTTTCGAGCTAATGATGTAACACAGAGTTCCTGAGCAAGATTTTGCAGAGGACAGGAATAAAGCTTTGTACATCTCTTCTCTCTGATTAAAGAAGTCTCTTTATATATTTATGAGCACTTCCTTCTCTGTCCAACGATATTCACAGCAGAGTGCTGCTGAAAAATCTCATATCACTTGATAAAGTTGGATATTTTATTATGCAGACGACAGCAGTTTGTTATTCCCACTCATCGTAAAGGATGTCTGATATCAATTGTCAGTAGCTTAATAGATACTTGTTCCTCAGGTTTACTTCCACTCAGAAAAAGTCAAGTTGTGCCAGAATATAGCTAACTGAGAAACAGCTTGGCATAGCTATCCAACAGCTAGAAATCTAAACATAATCGTGCATCTGACCACTATATTCATCCCTGTAGTTCTTATTGCTGTGCTACTCTAACAAGACCAGCTAAATTATGAGTAACTTTACGTATAGAAGCCATACCCATTTCCGTTCTGTGCACCAAGGATTTGCACTGTTTTGTGCTTAGGTCCATGAGGGTTTCAGTGCATACCCTGGTGTCTCTTTCAGTGTCTGCCAGACAACCTTCCTGGGAGCCAACAACCCTCACCGATCAGTCCTGCTGCTTCTCCTGGCTTCAGTGATGAGTGGCTTCACATGGGACACCCTTTCTCTCAACTTCAGAGGGCCTTTGGGTACAGTGGAGAAGGTCTCTTGTGTATTCAGTTGCTGTACTGTTCTCTACAGAAATGTTTCTCGTCCTTGTGCACTCGTAATGCCTCAGGCTGTCCTTCCTCCCTGTGCATTTGGATCCTTTTCTCGATGGAGGATTATAGTTTTATTTGTCAACCTCTCCTCTGAAGTGCATTCAGGAAGGTTAACACCTCAATCCCCAAACTTATTTAACTCCTCTCCCATGCAGCAGTTCATCTGACTATTTTCTTAATTAAAATAGGTGGTTCTGTTTCCTTGGAAATGAGAACTATGCACACTTTGTCGGATACCAGCTGTGATATTAAGCTGACTTTGACGCAACAAGACGCAGGACACTTCACACACCTTTGATTGGTGATTTGCTAGTATTTTTCCTTGTGAATTTTCCATATTATCTGTATCAAGTGAATGTGTTAAGAAATACACTTAACATAATTATTTCTTTAATATATATGTTTACTATTTATAAGTTTCTTATTTCAGGCTTTTGACTGAGACTGAGCACAGCAATTGATGTGTTTGGGGTAGGTAGTTCTCAGCTCCTTCCCCTGAAGAAAATTGGGACATCTATCAAAATACATGTATTTGGAATTCTAGTTATGGTAAAACTACATTTCCTCAATAAGAAAGGTATTACAACTATCCTTAGTGTTTCAATGAGTCAAGTTCAGTGGCACTGCATAGCTGTCTAGTTTTGTATAGGGATCAAAACTGAGCTGGTTGCACTTCAGCTCGGTGAGATAGACACGTTGAGGACAATTTAGATGAAAGAGCAAAACTAGGTAGTAAAAGGGGTGTTGACTCCTTCAGATTATATCTTTCATCATATAAGCTTGTGACTTTTTACGAGGGATTCTTTCCTCTTCATTGCTTTTAGTCACTTAAAGCCAGTCAGCTTCTCGTCATCCACATGTGGCCAGGACTTTCTAACCTCTGCGTTTTAATGTGGATTTTAGTAATTAGATTACTGCATAGCATTCTTCCTGAACCTGTTTGGAGTCACTTGGCGACAGCAACTCAAGAACTCGTTTGGTGGTTATACAATGGGAATTTCAGTGATTGTTGTCTTTCAACAGTGTTGCCCTCATTTAGGGTTACATATGTAGGTTTTGGCAATAGAAGGCCATGAGCAGCAATGGTGCTGCTTGGGATTTCTTAAAAACTCACCTTGTTCAGAGGGCTTCAGGAGCTCACTAAGGATACATTCGTCAGACTAGAGGCAGGAAGAAACCTTTTCTACTACTTGTCTGTCTGGCTTGGTAAGGTTATTATTTTTATCTGAATGTTTATTTTTTAATGCTTGTGACAGACTGTTCTGTTGCTTGCAGGGAAGAATGCTATACACAATGTATGTTGTGAAATGTGACATTAAACAAATGTGAAAGTCTGCTTTCTCCCATCTTTCTCATTTTTCCTTTCATATCTGTCCAGTTGTGGCCAGCCACAGTGTTAAGTTCTTATTCTTTGTCTTTGAGACATACTTTGGACTATTGGGATGGTTTTGCTCAAGGAGTAGACAGAGTCTAGTATAATTATTCATGGTGGCATAAAAGACAGAGATAAGACTATTCAGGAGGAAAGTACAAAGGTGAGAACATGGTAGGCTTTTAACTGAATCACATTGAAGAGAAGCTCAGGTGTTATTGCATGTACTTTTGATTGATCAGTAATATCAATCTCAGCAGCGTAAACCTTTCACTTTGGGAGAGACGAATAAAGATTTTGGCATACCTTCCCAAGAGAACTGCTCTGTGATTAAAAAAGGGTTTTTGTCATGCAAGTGTCTTCATGAACAGGTAAAAATCAAATTAAAAAAGCCTTATAATAATAGCAATTCTAGACCTCCCAGTGAGTCAACCTACTGGGACCCATAATTGCATAAGTTTACTGCAGTGAGAAATATTTTGTAGGCAAATAATAGTTAAAAATGCATCAGTGCTTCGTGATGCAAAGGTAAATTTCAGTGTGAATTCGACTTCAGATAACATGCCATAGGTCTTTATCATTTAGAATGCAGAATTTTATTTCTCCATAACTTTTCATGTACATAGTCTTTCATGGGCTACAGATTCTGAGTGTTATTTTACATTAACATCATCTTTATTTAATATATGACTTGTATTCTTCTTGAACTGCTCCTCAGCGAGACATCTAAAATGTGACAATGCAAAAAAAAAATTTGTATTAACTGGTTTTAAGTTGCTATGAAAACAAGTTCAACAATCTCTGCTACTGCACCTTCAAATGATACAGTGGATGAGGGCAAAAACTTGGCTAAATGCCACTTAAGTTCAGATATTTGAAGCTCTAGTGTCTTTGGCTGCTTATAAAAGTCAGGATTTAGTTGAGCCTTCTAGTTGCACTTGGAATAAACTGGTCTTTAGGGAGTGGAGGAGTAAGAATAGAGGACACTGCTTCTTCCAATAATCACATTCTCAATTCCTTCAGAATGTGAGCTTGCCACCAGTCCATCAAACTGATAGGGAAGCATCTACCATACTGAAGTGGTTTGGGTTTTTTTCTGCATTAAGAAGGAAGGCGTTGTGCTATATTATGCAATTTAAAGAGGTCTATGCCTTAAAAATCTCTATCCTTTTGAATAAGTGGGAGCAATAATTCTATTCTTGCAGACAGAATGCAAATAGAATAATTTTTCATTTCACATATTAATTCAGTAAGGAGATTAATATAAGCTTCCAAACTTCTTAGTCAAAATCTTTTTTCTCTCCAAAGAATGCAATACAATTACTACTTGGATGCTGATAGTTAATGAATTGTTTTATTGAATTGTGATAATGAAATGTGGGAGGCTGGTGTATGATATTTCTTATAAAGAGTATATTTGTGCAAGACTTTGTAGAGGAAGCAAAAATGGGCAGAAAATTTTTGTTTCAAAAAGAGAGATAAGGAAGTGGCTGCTAATGGAGCAGTGGCAACTGCCATTATAGCCTGTCGGCATTTCTGACTTCCAGTATGGTTTGGAATCAAATTCTTGACTTCAGGCAAATAATTTATTAATACTTTGTTGTAAGCTCAGGAGTAAAGCCGTGACTACATGGGTTATTATGAATGATTGATACTACTCCATTCATGGATTGATATATCTTTTGCAATCCTGACTAGCATCAGCCCTTGTTTCTTAATTTTGAATCCTGGTCTCAGTTTACGGTAAAATTCTTTACATCTGAAGTAAAGATCAAACTAATTATCAGAGAAGCCTAGAACAGGTCAGGTTAGAAGGACCTCACAATGTCATTTAGCCCCACCTTCTGCTCAAAGCAGTGTGAGTTATGAGAGCAGAACAATTAATTCTTAGCAGATTCTTAAAAGAATACTCTTTTGTTACCTTTTGAAGACTTTGTGTTATCCTTCTAAGTAATAGTCTCTTCATTATATATTTTTGCACAGAATGCTGGGGTTGGACTTTAAGGAGAGGTTACTTAGGAGCTTTCATTACAGACAGAACTTTTTTTACAGAGACCAGCAGTATTGTCCAACTTTCTTCCAACTATGGAAGTCCTGCTGGCAATCTGGTATTAATTCCGAATTTTACTTTTGGAAATGGTAGCTCTCAATGTAGAAAAGGTTTCAGTCAAAACCTTTTTTATTATTTGTCAAATAGTGGTATCGAAGTTCTGGTTTTATACAATGTAAGGAGGGGGTTTGCTGTTCTTTTACTACATCACACTAGGAGTCTGGAAGCGAATACTCTAATTCTTCATGTTTAGCTTTTCAGATGTTATATATTGTACAATTTTTATATCTGTGCAACTCCTGACTCTTTTTTCCTGCCTAACTCCCCAATAGTTTATTTCTTAGTTAATTATTTTATTTATGACATTAAATATTGACTCTTTTTTTTCTTTTTTTTTCCCAGTGCGACAATGCAAAAGGACTCAAAGCCTTCTATGATGCAATAAAATATGGACCTAATCATCTGATGGTTTTTGGTGGTGTATGTGCAACAGTTACTTCTATCATTGCTGAATCTCTAAAGGGATGGAATTTGGTTCAGGTAAGGCATGGAATGGAATATATTCAAATGTTAACTATCTTGTATCTCTGGATCTTTTTTTGAAATATAGAAACTTAGGTTTGACGCTTTTCTAGCTTCTCATTTTGTGTAATTAGTATGTCTCAGTTCCGAAGGCCAATGAAATTACGTGTAAAGAAGAATAGTTACTTCTATATAGTACTGGATTTTAAGGCTTGGCATTGTACTCAAAATGCATGTGAGTATGGGGCAGCAGTCACGTGTCTCAGTAGGTTAATTAAATAAAATTAATGTATCTCAAAAAGCAACCTAAATGAAATCAAGTTCAATCATGGTAGGCGGGTGCATCTAGGACTTTTGAAAACATGAAACAGCTCCTCAGGCCTCAAATTATGGTACTTCTGGGTATTTACTCTGCCTCTACTCAGTTATAATGCAATAATTCCTATTGACTTTAAAACTGTTGGAAGTGCATAAATTCTAAGTAGTAACTGGGTTCATGTCTCAGTACGTAGCTCACAAAGCACATTTATTCCCAGCTGTTCTTCTTCCTGACTTTCTCAAAGGTCAAGTTTGTGGAAAGGTTCCCTCTGCTGAGGAATCAGAATTTATTAATACTAATCTTTAAAATGCAGATGATAACAGCATGATTTTCATTTATTCAATCATCTGTCTAGTGTTAATTTTTGAACTGATGGCTGTTCACATAGCCATCCAGTTTTGCTTTTCTCATGTGGAAATACTGTAGCTTTCTACTCAATATTCATATTGCCCAAAGATAAGTTTGTATATTTTTTTATTAAAAAAAACCCAAATTATTCTATAGCAAAATAAAAAAATAATAATATATAAAAATTACCTAAGGTTACAGTTACAAACAGGCTCCTCTTTTCCACCTGGAATACTTACTGAGAGTAGTGCAGAAAGAACAAATGAGGCATAATTAAGTTTGTGAAGAAGATGATGATCAGAGTACAAATGGGAAAATCTTAGGAGGATAATTAAAGTAGCTTGTTAACTGAGTTTGCAATGCTTGTCAGATCAGACCTTTTTTTCTGATGCTTCAGGATTTTTTTTCTGATGTGAAAAACATCAGTTCTACTGTGGAAACAAAATAATAGTGTGTTTCTGGGGAGAATGGAGAAAAAACAGAAAGCCTGACACTATCCTTTAACACTTTCTCTTGAAAATGGCCTAGTTCATGACCTATAATGAAGTATGTGGCTGGAACTCTTGTTTTTTTTTAAGTTGTCACATGGAACTTCCATATGATGTAGGATGTTTTAAATAGCTGGATTTCATTGTGCTGAAAATCTTTTCATTTGCATTCAAGTTCTACCTGATAAAATCTGAAAATCAATTTGTTCATGAAGTTGCTCAGACTAGAAGGAAGGGTGATTAGAAAGCTTTTAAATGTCTGAACTTGTCAATATATATGTTAAAATATAGAATGATATGATGCATTGCTGCCAGAGAGCATTTATTTCTTTGTATTTAGCCATTATGGTTGTGACTATGTCTTAAACATTATTTATGATATCAGTCCATCAAAGGGATTCTTTACTTCTTGGGTTTAGTATCCTGTGGGCACTAGATAAGTCCTCACATGGCAAAACTGCACTTTGTGTCAGGTTTTTAGATATTGATTGGCTGGATGATGAAAAAACACAAATAGCAGCATGGCTGGGAAGTGTGGCAAGGCTTAGTGGATGGTATAGCAGCAACAGTCTAAATACTGCTTGTGAAAGTGTTATGTCATGGTGACAGGGGTTTGTGTATCTGCAAATCAGCAGATGTAGCATGTATAAGGTAGTGGGGAGAACAGTACAAATTTTTGACTCCTCAGGATACACTGACATAAGTGTCTCTGATTAAAAGCATAACTTCAATAGAAAGAAAAGATAGAAATCTGTAGTTCTCAGAAGTGGAGCAATATTCGGCCTGATAAAATACAAGATTGCCCACCCTCAAAACTTGAAACTTCACCTCAAAGAATCACAGCAAACTCACACAAATAGTTATATGAAATTATGATAAAATCATTTCAAGTCAAGAAGAGGGAGAACAACATACAGACAAAAAAGAACCTGACATTGTATTATTGAGTAGGCTATTTGCATTCGAATGTCCCCGTCACTTTGTCCCTGTGCCTGCAGTCAGGAAAACAAAGCTCTTAACCCTAGCAGGAATATTTGATTTGATTTACACAGGTGTCATGAGGTTGAGCGAAGTGATGACTGCCTTCCATGCAAGGGAAATGCAGGATGATACTGATAGTCCTGGGGAGAATAGAGAAGAAAAGAAGAATAATAACTGAAAAAATTGCTTCTCCAGGCAAATAAAATATGAGACCTGCTGACTGCAAAAAACCCCAAACTTTTTTGAAAACTTTTTAGCCCTGAATTTCAAGTCTCTGGGTGACTGCTTTTCCTCTGTTTGGGTAAATTTCTCTGTTCTGCCTCTTCTTCATTCTCTGCAGTATAAAGTTGCCAAAACCCCAAGAGTATAAATGTGCTGGAAATGATTGTGTTACATTTGCTACTCAGGCAACTATTGTAGTGATGGGGGAGGGGAAGGAAATAGATTTTTGCAAAGTAGCTTCCGACTCTACTCTCCTTACTGTATGCTGTTGATAATGGTAGTCTGTTTTACTTAACTGGTTAAATCAGGTCACTGATGGCCTGCAACAAGGTGAAATATGCAAGACTATCAGAGGTTGAGAAGAGTGTCAGTCTGAAGGTGACTTGCCTTATTTCCGTGCTGCATCAAAACAGAGTACTTTTCTTTCTACATCTTGACAAATTCTTGTTTAGTTATGATCAGCAACAGAAAGGGAGTTTGTGTTCTCAATTAGCTGTCTTCAACTGCTGACTGATTTAATTATCTCTTACTGTAACAAAATTAATTATATTTTAATGGACCATTTTATGTCTGCGAAAAGAGCAAGTTGTTTTAGTCTGCAAAGATTTATGTCGTCCTGAAGGACTTTCATTGAGGTATGCCAGGTGACACAACTTGGAAAATATTTTTTTAACACACATTCTTAGTAGGACATATGCAGACACCCATTCCCTAGCCTCTCAAATGAAAACCTTCTCAATGAGTAATCTCTGTGTGCCAGCAGTCCTTACTTTGTTGAGTGACAGTCTGAGCATGGGCTGGAAGATGCATGTGTGTCTTTGATCTCCAGTCTGTGGTGTGAAATCAGTTTGAACCCTTCGTGTTTCAGTTTAAAAGTGTTGTTAATATTTTGTGCCTTTGACAGTGGGCCCTAAAGTCACAAAGGTATAATACTGGGTAGCTGCTGTGCTGTAGGGTGAATATTTCAATGTCAGATTCTTCCAGATTAATCTTTTCCTCATTGCCTTTCAATGTGTGTTCAAGGCAATTAAACAAAGTGAGGAAGAATAATGAATAGTATCTCCATCTTGCAAAAGACAAGTTATTTGTTTTGAATTTTTATACTGAAGCATTCCTTCTAGTATCCAAGTAGTGCAAAACAGAGGAAATAATTAGCAATTCAGTCTTTCTCTTTTATTTCAGGGTTACATCTGTTTACATCTCCATGTGAATTTCTTTCAGTGGCAAAAGCATCTAATTTATATATTTTTATATTGCTGTTTCTTCTGTTTTCATTGTCATCTCTCACTTTCCCTCATTGTCATATTAACAGAAACATTTAATTGGGATGAGGATTATGACCACAACAGTCATCTCTCTTAATCTGCCAAACTCTTTTGGAGATTTGTCATTTTCTTTTGTTGTGCCATTTACATTCTCATACAACCTGCTTCATTTACAATTTCATTTGACTCTGGAGATAAGCCTCTGCTAGAAACAAAGTATAAATATTTGTGCTTCTTTGGAATATCCTCTGTTTCTGCGTATTTTATGTAATCTAGTCATAACTGCCAGCTTCTAGGCAAGTAACTGCTTCAGGCAATCCAGTGATTAGATCGTAATGACATTCAAAACTGAGTAACCTTATTTTGGATTCAGCACCTCATGTTGGAAAGTTTTCTAACAAAATTATAGGTACCCTAATCATGATGTATTACTTTTGGGCATATTAACATAGGGCAAGTTCCATGTATTAAAAAGGGATGTTAGAAAGGGAAAACTCCTTTAGTTCTCTAGCTCATGTAATTGAATATTAAAGAGCCTACCCTAAGATTTCTTTTGTTGTCCCAGAGAAAACCCGTAGGTATTCAAGATCCCATCTCTGAATCAGTGAAAAGGCTACTGGTGTTTGAGAAAATCAGTGATGTTTCTAGCCTTTGGTTTCCTTCTGAAACAAGGCTGATGTGATTGCACTGTCAGTTCCTCCTCTGACCACTGGCCAACTGCAACCAAATTGTAACAAAGGATTTCCCAAAGATTATTATACATTATTCCCAAAGATTATACATTTCTGTGAAAATGAGCTGCTGAGGAGAGGGATCCAGATGAATGAAGGAAAGGCTGCAGCATGATCACAGAGAACTTTGGGCCAACCATGCAGTGTGGTGCTTCATGTCCAGAGGCTGTTTATGGAAAGGGAACTGACTGCGTTGAGAGGATTGTTAAAAAGCAGAAGAAAAAAATTTAAGGGAACACAGAGGAAGGGTGAAACCCAGAAGGATATCGAGTAGGAGCTGAGGTATGTGTTTGTAGAAACCTAAGACACATGTATCTGTAGGAAACGAGGCTTTATTAGGTGTCCCTGTTACTCAGCAAAATTCTTCTAATGTTTACGGGATTTCATAACTATATGCAGGTTATAAATGGTGGGTTTTAACACTGCAGTAATGCAATTCATCACAGAGTTTTTCCTTTTTTTTAACATTCCTTGTCTCACTTGTTCCAGTAGAGTGAGTTTGTGCTACTTTTGCCTTCATTGCACAATTTCCATGTATTATTAGTTTGAGTAATGAAAAGGCCATTTAAACTAGTCTTTGGCTAAGAAGATTAGCAACTTCTATCTATGTGATGCAGGCAGTCCCACTTGAACAGGCCTTTCTCCCACCGGAATATGACCCAAT